GCATTATCAGGTATTCTTGCAAAAAAAAAAAATGTGGAAAATAAATGTCCCCAACTTAATTAGTGTAATTTAAAAAGCCCATCTCAGAAAAAAAGGACCTGTAACACTTTCAATAATAAAGATAAATTATTTTTTAAAAGTCCATCTAAAAAAAAGCAAAAAGCTTAGATGTTCTTCAAGGAGTGCTTGTTCAAACATGATCTGAAAGGTCTTGAACTGTGTGCTAAACAACCATGAAAATAAGCAAATACCAGAAAAAGTTAAAAAGGGGATATTATGGATGCCAAATAAAGAAAAAAAGATTTAAAGCAATGAATTAACTAAAAACACCCGCCCCCTTGTACTAGTATTTGCATTAGTTAAAAAAAAAAACTCTTAATGAGCTTGATTTCCGATTGAATTATTATTAGAATTGAAATGCAACCTAAATCATAATAGGTTGCCTTGGGGCTGTGTTTTTTCTCTCACCACAAATATGGATCCTTCATTCATGTGGATATTTGGGTGGACTACTGAGGCTGTAAAATCTAGATACCATTTTACAATATTATAATTACTTATACACATTTCTTTTCCTATTTCTCCCATTCCCCAATAAACAGATCTTGATTATTTTAAACTAGTTGCTGCAAGGACATTCAGTCTTTTGTTAGCATGTGATCAAATTTATAAAAGGAATTAAGAATACAAAGAAACTGAGTTTGCTAAAATGAGGCATCCTCTATTGTTATGTAATGTACCCTGACTGCTCCTGAGTAAGAACGGAGCTCGTCCTCCATGAGATAAGGCTATATCCTCACTTGTTGGTGAGACCAAATTCTACCCTTAGAAAATCCCAAATGAAATCACAGCAAAGGTAGTGTTACAAAGTAATTAACCGAAGCATTTCTGAAGGTAGTGTGTGCACCTTTTCCACCTTCTTCCCCTCTGGGTGAGCACTAAACAGACTGCTAATTTGTTATGTAAATTTAACAGTGGGAATAAAATCATAACATGTAAAATTGACCCAAATAATTATTTATCATGGAATAAACAAATTTCTTAAATTCAAAGGTTCATGTTCTTAAGAGATTTTTCTTTAGTTTAATCCTTCAATTAGTTGAATCGTAGAAGAAAAAATGTGAATAATTTTATAAGATGGCTTCCAATTTTCAGTGATAAAGCTCCCCGTATACAGAGGTGGTTTCTAAAAGAGGGGCTTTTTATCGTTTTTAAATAAAGGCAAATATAACTTAAAAGAAAGAATAAAAAGCATGCAGGCTCTACAGGCAAGGAGTCCGCTTCCATGTATCTGTTCTCTGTGAGGTAACTCAATTCTCTTGTAGAGAAACATGCAAAAGGCCAAACAATATCCCGAGCCATACTGCACATGAAAAATTTTAAATATGCAACATTCAGAAAGCACCTTTCACCTCTGTACACACAAGTTAATGCAAAATCTGCAGAGAAACAAGCGTCACAGTAAATGAAGTTAGGTGCAAGCAATGACAGCAGTAGTGCTCACCCAGTTTGTACAGTAATTGGCACTCTACAGTATTCCTACTCATTTTTTGATTCATTTGCACTTTGTGCTGCCTCTCCCTGGGGATCTAATTCAATCTTTACGGAAACATCTGGCCCCTCCGACCTCATTAATTTCATCTTTTTCTTTGGAGGGTTTTTCAAAGTGCCCAGCCTCTCCTTTACTTTGTACTCCAGTGTACTGTGGGGAATCCCATAAATACTCTGAGCTTTGGAAACACTCATTTTTCCACTCATAACCACTGAGATTGCTTCCTCCAGTATCTCACTGTTGTACTGTCTGTAACGCCCTCTTTTCTTCCGAGGCTGCTTGGAGCCAGGGTCTCCTTCTTGATCCGATGTGGGATATGGCTGTCCAGAGGTAGACTGCTCAGCATCTGAGCCCCAAGAATCGGGTCCAGCATCTAACATGCTTTTTCTATTTTGTTTTGGAAGAATAGCCCTCAATTTTTTACTAAGCGCGCTCTCCGTTTGTGAACCCATTACCAAAGAGCTATAGCTGTACTGATCACCAGTGCGAGATTCCCAAGAAAGATCCATTCCTCGAACTTGTGGTATCTTTAAATCTACAGGAGATGAATGGCTCACATCCTTTTTTCCATCTTGTTTTGCTTGAAGTGCCACTTTTGGAAAGGCAGAGTTTTCTGCAAGAAAAGGAAGGTCACTGATGTTGCTGAGTGCACCATTTCCCCTGAACTTCATACGGCTGAGGTTGAACTCATAATGTGGTTTTGCCCAAGAGGCTTCCCTGGATAATATTAAGTGCTGTCCATGATTCTGTAATCCAGATGGCCCAAGGCTGGCAGCTGTGGACAATTGGTTTCTGCTCAGTAGTTCTTCACTAATCTGCAGGGATCGAGCCAATGGAACTTTGAGTGATGTGGAGTGTCCAAAACCTTCCCTGGTTCCATCCTGTAAGCTTCTTGGAGGTACCCCATCACCACTCCGAAGTCCGTCTGGGCGGTACTGGCTGGGTCTCCCAGGTCGCCTAATTGGATGGAAGGAAACTGATGTGAGCAGGACTTGCACAGGTAGGGAGGGATGGGTGAGGGGACCACTCCTTTATTAGAAGGCCTTGCTTGGGTAACATCACTTTGTGTTATTTATTTATTTTTCTCTAAAATTAAAAAAAAAATGGTCTCAGCAGTTAGTTTTAAAACGTGTTCACAAAAAAAGAAAAAGGAAAAAAGAAAAAAAAACAGGAGCTTTTTGGGCAAAGAAAAATTAAACCTGTCAGCTGGTCTCTGGTTGGGTTCACAAATTTTCGGAGAAAAAGTTTCGCGCAACTGTCTGAAAATAGCACCTTAATTATTAATTACAAAGTAATCATCAAGTCTCCATAGATCTACACAGAATTGTGTTATCAATGTGACGTTACCACTAAACAAGTACAGTAATAAAAGAGTAAGCCAAATTATTTATTTTAATGTAACATTTCCAACATTCATAACAACCAGTCATAAAACTGGAACCATTTACATTGGTGGAACCCATAGATAATTGTTCATTTATCCCACAAACAAGTTGATGTTCACTATAAAAATCAAACAACTCCAAATGACATTTCTTATTTGTTTGGGAAAAAAAAATATGGCTACCAGCCCAAAGAAGGACAAGTACCCCAAACCAAAATACCCATCGCATTATAACTTACCACACTTCTTCATTTTAAAACACTATTAGTTGCAGATACATGAGTACCACTGATTCTCCATTTGAAATAACCCAAGCTTTAAAGAAACTATACTTTATTTCCCCCAAAACTTTGTAATTTTCACAGGTATATAAGCAATTTTGTAGTCTTCTTTATAAAAAAACCTCTCTTCTTAAAATACCAAACATCAATTTTGAGATTTTAAGTAAATAGCTTTTGAATAATATTTAAAAAGTCAATTATTTACACAAAGTTAATTCTTAAGGTTTTCTATTTCACAATAGAGAAAGATTACCATTGATAAAACTGGCAACTGGTAAAGCATGCCCAAGGGGAATTACATTACACAGGCACCAAAGTGGAACTTTGCAGAAATAATGATAAACTAGCTTTGTTCTCCAAAAGTCTACAAGGACTCTGTGCTATTATCAGTAAATAACAATAAGGATAACAATGAATATTCAACTAAAAGATGGGCAGTACTGTCAGTGCTTTTGTCTTCCAGAAAACAATACCACAAAGAAAACTCTTTCCATTTACAAGGATAAACACAGCAAGTTCAACCATATAATAATACATGAACCTGATGGCCAAGCTTAAAGTGAATCATAAGCAAGGAATTCATTTATACAAATCGCACTTAGGCTTCTACTTGTGTTCTGAATTACACAACTCAAATTTTTTGATATATAAATGGAATCCAATGATTTGGGACCATGATAGCATCTACCTAGTACATATAAACTACCGTGAAAAGAAGAGCTTAAAGGAAAAGATTAGTAAACTATGCAAAATAGATTAAATGAATGTTATTTTTAGACTGAATATAAAGAAGGAGAGAAAAAGGAAAATTATGGAATTTTAGAGAAAATAAAGGGCACATTATAGCAATCAGTAAAAAAATCCTTCAATTTGAAGGTAATTAAGTATAAATTGAAACGGTTAGTACATTTAGTGTCTACTTATTCCTATACCATCTAAACAATGCCCCATGCTTGATGATCGAAAAGTTAAATAAATATAAGTATTAACTAACTTAACTTACTCAAGTTATTTTTCATATCTAGATGAAGTTGATTTTTGGTCACAACAAAGTTTTATGGAAATTTCTTCCCAATATGGCATCCATATATCTTTATTAATACCTCATTTTTCTCTAAATGGTTAATATATACACATAGAAAAAGACTTAGACAATCTTACTGTAAAATTAGGAGGTCAGAAAATTCACTTGAACCTGCTAAAGAGTTACCAAAACTATGCATGTAATAATGTCTTGACAGCATAAGATAGTTATTTGTCAATATTTACAACCAGTCTTTATCTACTTTAAAACAAAAAATACAATCAGATTTTCTGAACTGCCACACAGTTAAAATTGCAGTTCAAATCAACAAAACAAACAGCCGACACACACCCACACACTACATTAGAGATACCAAGTTAATTACTAGAGCCCAATTTTTATTCAACAACTTCAGCACACATAATACAGTACTGCCTTTACATCTGAACTCTGAAATTATTTAGGTTGGGGTTCACACTCCCAAATACTCAACAACAAAAAGTCCAAAGACATTCTTGCCATGCTTCTGATTATACACTATTTGTACTAAACTGGCACAATTGATTTATTCCAGCCAATTCTAGATCAGAGACTGTGCCTTTATTTGCTTGGTATACTAAAAGTAATTTTACTAAAGGTATTCCTAGAAGAGTATTACTTTGAAGAATTAATTTTTAAAACATACAAAAGAAACTGGCATCAATCTTTGATAAATTGTCCCCTATAAAACTGTGGAAGGCTACAAATATTTTCCCTTACCCGTTCCCTGGAGTACTGGAGCAGCCTGGAGAATGGCTCAGGGAAGTGCTGCCAGCACATGGACTTTTCTTAGTGGATAGATCAAGTACACCGTCTGTAGAGACACAAAGAAACACCTGAGGATATTAAAAACTAGGAGCAAATGTGATCTGAACAGGCCAAAGATGACAAAGCAGTGGGCTTAGTCAACTAGCAGATACACTAATCATATATTTGAGCTATAATGTCAATTCATTAATAGAGTCAGGATATTTTTCCTCCTGAAGCAACATAAATTTAGCAAAGCTTGTTATATCTAATATCTAGAAGTGTAAAATATTTTACTATAGGGCAAAATAAAAGGTAAAGCATATCACTATAGATGTTAAGATACAGTGAGATATTAGAAATAGTAGTTTATATAGTTTGAGGTTCAGCCATACAACTATTAGACTTCATTTTCTAAATAATCTTACCAAAGCACTAAAAGTACATAAAAGTTTAAGTAATAAGTAATGCAAAAGTCATTTTAAAATATAAGTTTACATGGTTAAATTACACATATACACTCTATAAGATGAATCAGTTGTTAGCTGTTTATACAATGTGCATATATTGTAATTACGCTTTGGACACCTCTGTAAAAAACTGTACATTTGTCAATCTTTTGAAAAATATCTGCAGAGGTTCAAAATTCACAAGCTGATATTTGTAAAGGCAAAGGGTTGTTTTTTGTTGTTGTTAATAAGCTATTATAAATTGATGGGCAAAGTTTAAGGGAAGAAAGAAGAAAAAAATAGTCTTAATAATGACTGAACCCTAGAGGTTTAATGTCTTAGAAGTTAGACCAAATCCCAAATTCATGTTACTAGAATAGAAAATCAGACAACTTTCTTTTCCCACAAAGATTTTTATTCCCCTTACAGACATGTCTAGAAAAGAAAACTCAAGAGTCTGGACAACTTTTAAAGTTGCCATTCTGTCCAAAATTAACGGAGTAAGATACTACTCAATGCACCCCTGATTTTCAGTTGGCCAGCAGAGAGGCTTAGCTATCTAGTTATGTTAAAAACTGCCCCAATATTAAACCCACTTAGAACTTGTGCCTGAAGACACTGTATCTCCCAATTTCAGGCTCTTAGAAATAAATATGCAATTGAGTTTCTAAACCCAAAAAACCCACACTCATACAAAATAAGTATTGTCCTGTCACAGTCACTAATATTTCTAAATATATAATTGTAATTTTATAAAACCAAGTATCCTATTACACATCTAACCCAATTAGATATCTAACAAGCAAATATACTAATTAAAATACTTCCAACCAAAGACAGTATTATTTAAAGACCTCTAAATCTGTGTAATCAAATAGGCAACAAATTCATTTAGGAAATGTAATTTTAAAATGAAGCAATGAGCTTATATACTAAAATCCTATCACCTAGTTCCAATTTTTCTTTTTAAGTACATGCTGTCAAAACAATACACCTTTTAAGCATACCAGTAGCTATACGAAGTTAAGTTAGACTAGTGGTATCCTTTTATGTTAATCTCCATTATTAATACTTTAAATACAATCTCTATGCTGTCATTCTCCCATTGTAAATCTGAAGCTTTGCCGAAACTGGTTTGGCTCAGTGGATAGAGCGTCGGCCTGCGGACTGAAAGGTCCCAGGTTCGATTCCAGTCAAGGGCATGTACCTGGGTTGTGGGCATATCCCCAGTAGGAGATGTGCAGGAGGCAGCTGATCGATGTTTCTCTCTCATCGATGTTTCTAACTCTCTATCTCTCTCCCTTCCTCTCTGTAAAAAAATCAATAAAATATATTTTTTAAAAAAAATCTGAAGCTTTTAGTGCAATATTTTGAGCAATGAAATTTTAATGAAAGCTACCAATTTGGTAAAGAAAAAAAATCCTCAATAAAACAGAAAAAAACAATTTTGCAAATATGTAATCAAAGGTACAATGATCAATGTGAACACAGAACAACTACGAGGTCTTGTGCTAGGAAATCTCTTAGAAAAACTTAGACATTCTGATTGCTACTCACTATACAGAAACAGGAAAAAAGCAAAGGAAAATTATTTCGTCCATTAAGTGCAAATCCTTCGTAAATAATTTACAATAAGCAAAAGAAAGTCCTTTAAAACAGGTTTTTATAAGAATTAAACTTAATTTACTTTGTAAAATAAACATGTATTTCTCACTAATAAATCCACACATCTGATAACTTTTCTGCATACTCTTATGAAATTTCTATGACAAAATCTCATTAGTACAGACATGATCAATTTAAATTTTTTACTTGTTTGAACAATGGCAGAGTGAAAATGCTCACTTCATCTTTGTGAAATTAAGGTAAAATGAGATCACAAAGCAACAGAAATATTTAATCTATTTAAGAAAGTAAACTTTTCAAAGACTGAAGAATTATTTGCTAAGCAAAACTAATAACCTATTAACCTACTACTTAATTAGGATCCTCACCAACAAATGATCTGGAAATGCTTGTGGGTTAGTTCACAATATAGTGCATATATGAAATATGTGTGTGTGTGTTTTAAATAAAATAATGAATACACTTAACAACCTGAAGTGTGTTTACTATTTTCTCATTATTTCTAACCCTAAGAACTTCTTTTTTAAAACTGCAAATAATACATTTTTGTCTTATGATCTCATTTGCAGAATATAACTTCTTCTACCTAACAAACAAAGACATGTTTATTTCTCAGGTGCTAATCCTAGAACATTGATGGAGAAGGGGGAAAAATAATTTTTCAGGATTTTTAAAAACAATGGATATGACAACATTTTGGAAAGTATAAAATGCTTATATAAATATCAAGTAACTTAAAGATCAGCAACAACTGTAACTACCTAACTTTTCTGGGTGGTATATAAAACATGACTATGGACTCCTGATGGGTAAGGTAGCCAATTTATCTGAACTTCTCTATCATTGCATAGTTAGCAATTTAAGAATCACATTAGTTTTTATTCTATTATTGCTACTGGTGCCCTACTTGCCAATATTTTTTTTCTCCCCAAATTAAAGTATTCTGATTGGACAGAGGAGACCTTGACATCAAACCATACCTTGTTCACTAGGTTCTGACTGAGACTTTCTGACAGTAAGGTCCAGAGGTGAGTCTTGGTCAGCCATGAGAAGTTTGCTGAGCACAGGGTTCTGAGTAGTTGCAGCCGTGGGAGAGGTGGTGACTGGAGATGCTTTCGGCAGGCTTTGGTTCTTTGTGCTATTGGGCTGGCTGGGGTCCTGAGTAGAGCTATTTTTTGAGGTATATTCAGCAGCAAATTGTTGGATCATTCGCTGCATGATCTCACGGGCCACTAGGGGAATATTGGGGTCGGAGACCCAGGGACTGTCTGTAAACAAAGATTTATTTACTTTTAAAGTGGGACAATGTACTTAAAAAAAAAAAAAAAAGACAGCTTTTAAGCAAACATAAAATTTCATTTTATTTTTTCTTAAAATGCAGTATCCTAAAATAGCATTTCCTCATAATTATATTTTTAATCTCTAAGCTTATGAGCTGCAGATTTTAAAAAATAACATTTTCATAAAATTAGTTATAAACATCTCCCCAAGATTACGAATCAAGTAAAAGGATAACAACTATTTGGGGGGCAAGAATCACTTACCTGATACAGAAATCCCCCCAACACTCCTTTTATAAAATAATTACTACCCTATTTACTACCTCTAGGTCATATCTGTTGTTCTTATCGGCAGTTTCTTCCTAAATTGCTGAAGCATGGATTACTCAGTTCATGAGTGTTTACTTTCTGTTAAGGACTGAAGACATAGCAAGATTATAAAAGGAGATATTTAATATTAAGACCAATGATAGGCTAGGGCAATAATCTTCACACTTTAATATTCATCCGAATCACTTTGAGAGCTTGTAGAATCAGGTCTGCCTGATTCTGCAGTTCTAGGGTGAGGCCAAGGCATTTCTAACAGGCTTCTCGATACTGCTGGTGGAGGGGCCACAACTTTAGAAGCCTTGGGCTAGAAGTTTAAATGACAAATCTCATATTTCCTATGAGTTCTTTAAATACACTGTGCCAACCCCTAAACACAACAGCTAGGGAAGCAATAAAAGAAACATCTAAGTTATCATTTTGTAATCAATATTAATTTTAAAAAATTCAATTTTCAGCACTGGAAAAAGACCTTGAAGGTCAAATGGGTTAAAACAAAAGGCAAAATGTTTTGCATACATATATTATCACACCTGTATCAATACGGATCATATCATCAGGGAGTCTCAGCTTCGCCAGAGATTATGTTTATTCACCACTGTATAGTCAGCACCTAATATAGCCTGCTGTTAAGTATGCATTCATATTAGTTAAGTAATAAATGGATCAATCAAATCAATTGCCATTCAATTGCTGTGTTTTTTTAACAAATGAAGGAAATGTGCTCTAAAGATCAAGTGGCCTCTTCAAATTTGTATAGATGGTTAGTGGTAGACCCTTGATTAAACCTCTCCCCCTGCCCAGCTGGTGTGGCTCAGTGGTTGAGCATTGACCCATGAGCCAAGAGGTCACTGGTTCAATTCCTAGTCAGGGCACATGCCCAGGTTGCAAGCTGGATCCTTGGTAGAGGGTGCAGGAGGCAACCAATTGATGTTTCCATCTCCCTTCCTCTCTCTAAAAAAATAAAAAAAATAAATCAATAAAAACATATTTAAAGAGGGGCAATCTGGCTCCTGAGGCCACCACAGTACACTGCCTCACCACATATTTACCAAAAAAAAAAAAAAAACAAACCAAACAAACAAACAAAAAAACCTCTCCCCCTGATCTTAATGTTCCAACCATGATCTTTACTTCTCCACGATACTTCTGAGGTTTTAGAAGATGGAGAACCTAAGTTTCCTTGGTCTTTTAAAGATTAACTATAGAAGATAAATTACGTTACCCAGGGGCTATAAGGAACTTAGGTTGATTTACAAATTTAGAAAAAACTGACTCATAATTAAAATCTAATGTTATCACAAAAAACACACACACACACACACACACACACACCTTAAAACCTCACAGGACTCCTAAAAACAGACAATTCTTTTTCCTGAAGGACAATATTCAATACCAGAGAATGATTTAAAGTCAGAATATTTATTTAATTCTCTGGAGTTTAACAAGGTTTTTGTTCTACCAATAACAACATTTCTATTCTACTAAAAAGTATTTTCCACCCTAAGTTTCCTCTCTATAAATAAAAACTCTGAGTATGCCAGAGAGTATAGAAATAAAGATACTCAAGTTAGGTAAGATTCAGAAGTGTTTTTTAAAAACATTTTTATTGATTTCTGAGAGGTAGGGAGAGGGAGAGAGATTGAAACATCAATCCTTGATCGGCTGCCTCCTGCACGCCCCCTACTGGGGACCAAGCCTGCAATCCAGGCATGTGTCCTTGACTGGAATCGAACCCAGGACCCTTCAGTCCGCAGGCCAACACTCTATTCACTGAGCCAAACTAGCTAAGGCGGTAAGATTCAGAAGTTAATATAATCACTTAAAATGGTTCCTTAAATGTTTTTAATAAACATTTTAGCTATACATTGCTTTAAAAATCTCTCTACCGAATGGGTTTTCTTATTAATATTCATTAAACTTTCCACTTAAGATCCATTTTTTTCACGTAGCATACAATCCTCTAAATACAAGAATATATATATATGTATATATATATACACACACACACACACACACACACACACACACACACACACACACTGTAATTTCAAGTTTTAATGTATTAGTGTATATTTTCCCCCTGAAAAGTTGGAGAATATGTAATACATAAAGAAGTTTCCAAACAGGAAGCAAAATGAAGTAATTTATGAAATGTCTCTTTGTTTAACTAGATTAATAAATGTAATTAAAGATTCATAGGAGTCAAAGGTTTTAGGACGAATAACACAAATTGCTACCTTTGAGCTTTAAATGGCTGCAGCATATTTTACCTTTTTGTTGCATGAATAACAATCACAAACCACAATTCATGTTTATGAATTGATGACATCTCTGCATTTGAATTTCTGTCTTTTGAAAGCTTCTTCAACACTTTTCATTCCTTCACTTTCTTAAAATATATCTATAAACCGAGTCATGTCTCAGGGAATATGCACAATTGAGTCAAATAAAAAACAGCAAATCAGATCAAAATTAAAACTACAGAAAAACATGTAAATGCTGCCTCATAGCCATCTGCATATTTCAAAAATGGCAATCTAACATTTAGACAAGTATCATATTTCCTTAACACAAGTGACAAAACACACTGAAAAGAAATATGATCATGACAATTGCAGAAGGTATACTGTCCTTAAATTGGAATTTATTATAAAATCCATACCACAAAAGCCTACTTTTATTACATTAATGTTTCTATTTAGTGATATAATTTTTACATACTCAATTATTTATAACATACAATTTGCAATAGTTGGAAACAAAGGACTAAATCCAAATATCTGAAGTAGTTACTAAAAACAAAATAATCACTTCAGACTAAATTGCCTGTCATATCTCTGGATAATAAACATTTTAGATATTAATTTGAAGACTATTAATACTCATCTTTGAGATGTTTCCAAGATGATTAATAAAATATCTAAAAATAACAATATTAATAAATAAAGCAAGGTAGAAGGAACTTCCAATTGCAAAGCAATAGTTCTTTTTCTGAGCATCATATTCCAGTATACAAAAATATATAAACTTAACTTTACATACAAATTTAAGGAATTCTCATCTCTTGAAGTTTATTCAAAGACTGATTTCAAGGTAATAATTCCTCCCCTAAAGGTTATGTTCTCAAAAGTTTAATTTCTAAATAAAATTTTATAAAAGTAAGCTAACTCCCTCCAAGCTACGAGTGAATGAAAAGTGGTTGCTCCATGTACATCAGGTAGAGTTCCTCTTTTCATGAAAAGTGGTTGCTCCATGTACATCAGGTAGAGTTCCTCTTTTCAGATAATGACATTTGCTGTAGCACTAGACCCATGATAGACCTATTAGTCATTTACACTTTAAATGTGAATTACCAGAACTATTTGTCATTTATACTTTAAATGTGAGTTATTTTAGTAAAACAATCAAATGTTCATAAAATGAAATAACAATATTACTGTTTTGAATGTAATTTTGGAATTCTGGGTACTTTATTGAGACAATAAGGTGAGTCCAAAAGCTTCAGTTGGGAGCTTTAGTCAGAAAGTGCAAGAAGGTATTATTTAAAAGAGAAGAGAGGATGTACAAAAGATTTAATTTTGTCTAGGGAACTGATAGAAGAAATTTTTTTTTAAATGCCATTGAAAACAATAATCTTGTGAATTCCTTTTTCTTTCTTTTGCATTCCTTAATTTTCTACTACACTTCACCTCATACACCCTTTTGAAAATACTAATTACATTATGCAGAAGCCCAGCTGGTCTCCAAATGTAACCAACCCATTAGAATCAGCACTTATCAGACTTTTAACCAGTGTACAGGCGAACACCAGCTTTTAAACTTAAAAGGGAAGAAAGAAATTTCCAGAGGAATGACAGGTGTAAACTAGAACACTGAAGAAATATTAAAGAAAATGGAATCATTGTGTCTGCTGAAGATTAAAAATCTATTTAGAAAGACTATCTTGAAGGTAAAGACTCTTCACTAATATGGCTCATGAATGGAAACTTCCTGAAGGTCTTGGCTGGTAGCAATTATTCTTTGAGGATAGAGAAATGTAAAACAAGCCTACAAAAGTTTCAAGGAGAAAGATAAATTGAAAAGTACAAGAGGTGAAGCTACTAAATGCCACCTCAAATGTATGGGGGAAAGTTTTATTTTATAATAATAAATTTCTTTTTCTAATTTTAGTAAGTTAAAAAGCTAGTGAAATAAGACTACATCAAGGAGAAAAACTGCTTGCAAATCTAATTTTAAGACATAATTTTACATTTTTCTCTGCAAACAATAGTTCAGTGAGAAATTACTAGAAATTTACAGTTAGTTTTTTGGTTATCTGTGATAAAAACAGTAACTGTTTATGTAAGAAAATCTGACTAACAATATATAGAACTACTGAAACCTTGCAACTTTCAGACTTTCACAATAATTTTAAGAATTATTTAACTAAAACCTATCACTTCAGAGTAAAAGGAGGGAGTGGGGTTGCCTCACCTTATTTCAAATTTAACTTGCTAAAGAAACATGGAGAATTATAAAGTGTATTATCAATAAAGAAAAATACTTTTTAAAGTAACTCTTTAAAAATGACATTGAAATTAAGAAGGTTAATACAAGACAAACAGATGCTAAATGTCATTCTTTACTGGAACCAACCTTTTCTATAAAAGACTGCATTGAGGAACTCTTCTGCTTGTTTCTCGAATCGAATGATTTTTGCTTGCTCTTGTTTAAGCAGAGCTTCCCGCCCAGCTCCTGAAGCTGGTTCATCCAGACCGACTAAGTGTCCCTGCAAAAAATTTGGTGACATATTTGCACAAGTATCTATCTCCATTCAATATCAAAAGCATAGATGTTAAAAAAAAGGAACATTAAAAACAGATAAGACAAATTAGCTTAATACAATTAACATATTTTAAAACTTCAAATCAGGATAAAATTTATCTCCACAAAAGTATAAAAGCAAAGTGAATATGAAAATATACTTTGGCTCTGGCTGGTCTGGCTCAGTGGTTGGAGCTTCATCCTGTGCACAAAAGGGCTGTGGGTTTGAGTTCCACTCAAGGGCATATACCTGTGTTGCAGGTTCAATCCCCAGCCCTGATCAGAGCACGTAGGGGAGACAACCAATCAATGTGTCTCTCTCACATAGATGTTTCTCTCTATTTTTCTTCCTTCCTCCCTTCCTTCCACTTTCTCTAAAAATCAATGGGAAAAATACCCTCAGGTGAGGATGAACAAAACTTCTCTCTCTCTCTCTGGCTTTTAATCCAAGTGTGTGTTTTTTTAAATTATGAGTTTTGTTTAAAACTTACAAATAAACTCTAATTAATCTATAATTATTAAAGGGAAATTTTTTGAGCATTCTATATAACGGTTCTTGGGCATCTTTTCATGTGTGTATTGGCCATGTATACTACAGCAATAGTTCAGACAACTCAACTCAGTAAAAAAAAAATCTTAAAACTCCAAGTCTCATTTGTGAATCACATCTGCCTTCCTAGTACAAGATCTGTTTTCTCCAGACACAAAACAAAAATTTGTAAAGGGCCGTTTGGAGGTAAAACTCAAGAAGGATGTATTTGAATTCACAATTCTGTCCCTAGAATACTATTTTACAAACTGAAACTTTCAAATCTTTAATGGGTTGTGAAATTAACAGGTCAAAACTCACACTAGAAAAAATAACTCAAAAACAGAGTGCATCACATGCTTTAAGGGGAAACATTTCAGTATCTTAAGGGGAAACACTTCAGTATCATATGTCATCCCACAGACTGTCAAAACCTGCTCTCAGACTGCAGGAGTATTGAACTTGGTTAACAACACTTTGCACTTCCACCCTTGTAGCTAATAAATAAAGAGGAAACTATGATAATAGAAAAAAGATTATAAGGAAAAGCAAAGTACATCTTTTAAGTGTTCTTAGAAACAACTATTTTGTTTTTAAATACCAGTGTTTAAAATACCAGTGCATGTAACTTACTTCAAGTTACTACAATGAATCAACACATGCATTTAGTTATATAATGGAAAATTTTAAAGTGCTCTAAAGAAGAAGATGGGGAAATACCTTGGCACAATGTCAAACAAGACACTAAAGGCATGTTATAATTCACAAATGATTTCCTCAAAGATTTTAAATACACTTAGTGATATTTGCAACCATCACCCAAATTGTGTCAACAGTGCAATAAAAATACATATTTTTCAAAGATACATTTAGCATCAATTACAAATCATAAACAAACTAGAGGCCCTGTGCATGAAATTCGTGCACGGGTAGGGTCCCTAGGCCTGGCCGGCGATCAGGGCCAATCTGTGGGGAGACTGTGGGGTGGTCAGGGGGCCCCCTGCTGGCACCCACCTTGGCCAGCCTGGTGCCACCTGCTCGCCGGCCCCCCGCTGGTACCTGCCTGGGCTGGCCTGGGGGCCTGCGGGAAGCTCCCGCATTGAGTGTCTGCCCCCTGGTGGTCAGTGCGCGTCATAGCTACCGGTTGTTCCACCATTGGGTCGATTTGCATATTAGGCTTTTATTATATAGGATAGTTTAATATGAAGAACTCTCTTGCATACTCAAACTTAAACAATGGTGACTTGACAATTCCATTAAAGACATGCTAAGTTTGCCACATTGTTTAAAACTTTTTAAACAAAATATTTTAAGTATTATAAATCATTACAAAAGCCTTTATTATAGTTGCACTTCCCAACATTCTCTCTCATGGACTAAAAAATTATTAAGAAACTGAATTTTAAAAGTGAATCACAAATAATTTAATTTTGATATAGATTTAACATCTAAAATGTATTAGGAACAGGTAGATATATATACCTTGGAAATACTTCAGGTTTGGTTCCACACCACCACAATAAAGTAATTCGTAATCTTTTTGTTGGTGGAGGGCCATGACTTCAATTTGTAAAAAAACACAACATCCATAAACCATAATAAAGCAAAGTGCAATACAACAAGGTATGTCTGTATTAATTAAACAGTCCAACAAAATCCTCAACTATTGATGCCATTTCATTGTTTAGAGATTTTTTAAAAACAGACATTAAATGGCATAAACTGGACTTAAACTTAACTCTGTAGCCCTACAGTCAGTCAATTCAGTCAGACCTTGAACAAAATATCTATCCTTAAACTATGTTTCATATAGCATTCTGTGTTTAGATTAGAAAGCTACTTTCTAATCTAAATCAACACAGAGCAACTAACTAAGCATTCTGTAAGGCAGGTGATAAATGTTTTTTTCTTGAATTAAATAATTAACCATTTTATCAACCTGGCCTCTGAAATACACATGACTTTAAGCTGGTACATATCAATTATGGTCACATCTATTTCTTTTTTGTTTTTAAACAGTTTTATTGAGATATAATACATATACTATACTATTTACCCATTTAAAGGGTAAAATTAAATAGATTTCATATAACTGAAATCATATACTATTTGTGGGGTTTTTTGGGGCAAATGACTTTTCTTCTAGAATAATGTTTTAAAGATCATCCAAGTTGTGGCATGTATTTACTTCCTTTTTATTCCTAAATAATATTCCACTGTATGATATACCACATTGTATCCATTCACCAGTTGATGAACATTCGGGTTGTTTCTACTTTTTGGCTACTATGAATAATGCTGCTTTTAATATGTGTAAGTTTTTGTGTGGATGTATATTTTTATTTCTCTTGGATTTATATACTTAGGAGTGGAATTTCTGGATTGTATGTTAACTATGTTTACCATTTTGAGGAAGTGCCAAACCATTATCCAAAGCAGCTACTCCATTTTATATTCCCCACAGCAATAATAGGAATTCCATTTCTCCACATACTCATGAACACTTGTTATCTTTTTTATTACACCATCCTAGTAGATGAGAAGTTGTAGCTCATGGTTTACATTTGCATTCCTGTAAGGACTAGGGTAATTGAGCATCTTTTCATGTGTTTGTTGGCCATGTAAATATACCTTCTTTGCAGAAATGTCTATTCATAAGCTTTGCCCAGTTTTTAATTGGGCTATTTACCTTTTTATTTTTGAGCTGTAAGAATTCTTGACATGTTCTGTATACAACTCTACTATCAGATATATGACTTGAAATATTTTCTCCCATCTGTGAGCTATCATTTCACTGATGCTACTGTTGGCAATACAAAATTTTTTTTTAAATATATATATTTTATTGAATTTTTACAGAGAGGAAGGGAGAGGGATAGAGAGCTAGAAACATCGATGCGAGAGAAACATCCATCAGCTGCCCCCTGCACATTCCCCACTGAGAATGTGCCCGCAACCAAGGTACATGCCCTTGACCAGAATCGAACCTGGGACCCTTGAGTCCACAGGCCGACGCTCTATCCACTGAGCCAAACTGGTTAGGGCAATACAAAATTTTTTAATTTTAATGAATTATAATTTATTATACTCTTAACATTTGTGCTTTTGGTATTGTATCTGAAAAACTAGTGGCTAATCCAAGGTCATGCAGATTTTACTCTTATGTTTTCTTCTAAAAGTTTTATAGTTTTAGGACTTTTAGGTCTATGATCAATTGAGTAAATTTTTGTATAGGGTATAAGAAAGGTCCAACTTCCTTTGTGAAAAACCACTGGCCATAATTTTACTTCTGGACATCCAATTCTATTCCATTAATCTATATATCTATCTATCCTTATGCCAGTAACACACTATGTTGATAACCATCATTTTGTAGTAAGTTTTAAAATTGCAAAGTGTGAGTCCTCCTAATTTGTTCTTTTATAAGACTGTTTTGGCTATTTCAGGTCCCTTGAAATTTCATATGAAAGAGGCCAGCTGGGGAGTTTGATGGGAATGCAGATTCTGCAAATCAGTTTGGGGAGTAATGCCATCTTCATAATATTAAGTCTTCCAATTCATGAACATGCGATGTTTTCCCATTTATATACTTAGATCTTCAATTTCTTTTAACAATGTTTTGTAATTTAAAGTATATAAGTCTTACACTATTGTTAAATTTATTCCTAAGTATTTTATTCTTTTTGATGCCACTGTAAACTGAATTTCATGTTCAGATTGTTCGCTGCTAGTTTATAGAAATAAAATGAATTTTTAAATAATGCTTTATTCAGCAGCCTTGATCTTGTTGTGTGAAGTCCTCTAGAGATGTTATGTCTCGATTCATAGTGTTGTTCAAGTCTTCCATCTTTGTTGATGTTCTGCCTATTGCTGAAAGTGGGGTGTTGATGTGTCCAACTATTATTGTTGAATTATCTATTTCCCCTTTAATTCTGTCGCATTTTGTTTCACCCATTTTAGGACTCTGTTGTTGAGGATTTAACCCTTTGCACTCCGCTGTCCCCTCTCAGGGGACATCGGAATTCTAGCATATCACTCGGATGTCCCCTCTCAGGGGACATTGCAGTTTATTAGTGATTACGGGGAATTGAGTTATTTCAACGCAACTTTTTGAGACATGCATGTTTCCCTGAAGTTTTATCTTGAAATGGCACAAGAAATTAAATCAAAATATCGTAAAATTACTAAGATATATACAAGAAATGTCAGCGGGTTTTGTGTCGGATAAAACAATAAACTACATATTCCCGATGTGGGACAAAGAAAACGGGACTGCATTGTGTGTTCTAACAGGAAAACACCTGGTGGCAGGCATCAAACCACTTATTACTGTCAAACATGCACTAATCAGCCTGCAATGCATATTGGGGAGTGTTACAAAACTTATCATACTGTACAAAATTATAAACAATAAAATATTGTTTTTTTTGCAAATA